AATTTGAAGGCACGGGTGCACAAAAAACAGGTAAGAACTGTGTTTTTTTTTTTTCCGCCATTCTATCAAATTCACTCAATATTTTACAAATAATATGTTAAATTTATAGGCTTTTGATTCGTTATAGTGTTGTTTATCATCACATGTATTCAATTTGATTATATTTATTCAATTTGAGTTGGATTTTTGAGGAAAAAAGACTGATGTCTGTGAAAAAAAAATAGATTGAGTTTTTTTTTTTTTTCCGCCATTCTCTCAATTTTAGTAAATATTTTGTAAATAATGTGTTAAATTTATAGGGTTTTGTTTTGTTATAGTGTTGTTTATCATCACATGTATTCAATTTGATCTGATTTATTCAATTTGAGCTTAATTTTTGAGATTTGAATGACTGATGTCTGTGAAGAATTGCATTTTTTTTTTCCCTCAATTCAATCAATTTTATTTAGTATTTTGATAATAATGTATTAATATTATAGGGCTTTGATTCCTTATAGTGTTACTTATCAAAACATATATTCAATTTGATGTAATTTATTCTATTTGAGGCGGATTTTTGAGTTGGAATGACTGATGTTAGGTGGGTCTGTGAATAACTATGTTTTTTGTTTTTTTAATTCATAATCAATTTTTTTGAAAAATCGTGATTTTTTGAAAAATTGTGACCAGTTTTTTATTATCATAAGGAATTAAATAATATTTTTAATTTTTATTATTAAATTTCTAGTTCAAAAATTTGCATGTTGATAGATTATTTATGCAAAAAAATACATGTTATTATATTTTTAATGCAAAACTGTATTTTTAATTTGTTGTTAATGAAAAAAATACATTAACAAATACATGCCGTTAGTGCAGTTTTGCATTAAAAATGTATTTTTAAATTTTAAAATTTTTAATGCAAAAAATACATGTTGTTAAACTGTATTATCATGAGGAATTAAAGTGAATATCATTGTAAAAAAATCGTGGTATGTATGATAATTATATTATCTTGCATTTTTCAATTTTATTATTAAATTTTTAATGCAAAAAATGTATGTTCTTGATAATTGAGTTGTAGCCATGTTTGGAGCTTGCATTTTTTATTATATTATGTTGCATATTTGTAATTGAGATATACGACTATTTGTGATCATTTCAATCGAGTTAGGATTGTGCCCACTATATCATTGTAAATTTTATTTGTGGCATTGTGAATGGCTATATCATTGTAAATATTTTTTGTATCAAATATACGCGTAGTGGCATTATGGATGACTATGTTAAAGTAATTTTTTTCTTGATTCTAAGTGTGACTTATACAAAAAAATTTTTATCTATAATGTTGCATAAATATTATTTTTTTTCTCAGTAGAAACTAATTCATGTTTGTCAAAATGAAGATTTCTGACAAGTCCATATGTATTGGGATTGTGAATTACTATACCATTGTAAATATATTTTCTATGTGTAGTGGCTGATATAGGCTATTTTTATCTATAATGTTGCATAAATAAATTATTTTTCCCAGTAGGAATTAAAATATTTTTGTTAATAGAAGTATTTTGCATTACCAACAAATATAACTTCATGAACTACCTTTACATATTATCACTACACATGGTGATTATTTTTCATGTTGAACTGTCAGGTTAATTTTTAACCTTTTACATATTAAAGTTGAACCATGGCAAGATCTGCGGAAGACCTTGCATGACACCATGGGGTCAGAGTTGATCCCAAAAAAAATGACAAAATTTTTTGTAATTACTGTCAAAGAGTGATAAGTAGTAGGGTACATAGGTTCAAGTAACACTTGACAGGGGTTGAGGGAGATGTTTATGCGTGCAATAGTGTCCCTAATAATGTAAGAAAGCAGATGGCGGCATTTCTCAAGGCTATCAAAGGTAAAAAAATTGCAAAGCAAAGGATGGATGAGGAGATAGCTAGTTTATATAAGCGATCAAGCGGGAATGATCCAAAAGAACAATATAATAATGACTTGGAAATGGCCATAAGAATGAGTTTACATGAAACATACTAGAGGGAACGCGGGTTTAGAATGCCTGGTGGTTATGACATGGGCAATGCATGGTGGGCCTAGCTCAGACATGCATGGCGGGCCCAGCTCGAGCATGTATGGCCGGCCAAGCTCAAATATATATGGACGGGTTGATGGCAATATGTATCAAGAGGAATCAGACGTTTAAGAAATTGTTTCTAGCTTATCTAGAAGTGCAAGTATTGCAGGTCGTGGTTGTATAGACCCAGTTCTCTCAAAGCCTAAGTCAGAACATATGACCCTCAAATGCATGGTCTACGGTACGAGAAACATGTTAGGCAGATATGTTGGTAAATGGTTCTACGATAAAGGGATCCCCTTTGATGCAGCCAATACCCATATTTTCTACCTATGGTCAACGCAATCCAGAGAGTCGAGCCCGAGGTAAAACCCCCAACGGCATATGAGCGCAGTGGGCCAATATTGGATGAAGAGGTGGAAGAAGTTAGAAAGTGGATTGAAGAGTATAAACATAGTTGGCCAAGAACATGTATTACTCTCATGAGTGATAGTTGGTTGAATAAAGTTAGCAAAAAGGAGTTTGTAAACTTTTTGGCCTATTCCCCAAAAGGTACAGCTTTTTTGTCTAGCAAAGACGTATCAAGGACGAAGAATGATGCAAACTTCTGCGTACGACTATATGATTAGATAGTGGAGGAGGTGGGAGATAAGCATGTAGTCCAATTTATTATGGACAATGCGCATGCATGTGTTTCTATGGGCAACAAGTTGATGGATAAGATGAAGCATCTAGTATGGACCCCGTGTGCTGCACACAACATCGATCTTATGTTAGAGGAGATCGGTGAGATCAAAATTGTGAATGAGACTCTACAGGAAGCGAGGTTGGTGTCAAGATTTATATATAACCTTTCTAAAATTTTATTTTTTTTTAGAGAATAGTTTAAGAAAAAAGAGATAATCAGGCCTGCCATAACCCGCTGTGTGACAGATTATTTGGCTATGGACTCCATTCGGGAATATAAAGGTGCAATAAAGAAATTGTTTACCAGTGAAGAGTGGTTAAATGATCGCCTCTCGAAGTCCAGTACCAGGTTAAAAGTGGACGACATAGTCTCAAATAGGAGGTTCTGGTCTAGATGTTCGAGTATCGTAGAGGCCACTACCCCATTGGTCACGGTGTTAAGAATGGCGGATGCTAACAAGAAAGCTACCATGAGCATCCTATATGAAGGTATCGAAAGGGCCAAATAAGCTATTGGGGAGAAGTGTAGTTTTGCTAGTAAAGTGATCGAGATTATAGAGAGAAGGTGGAACACCAAATTTGGACGTCCAATTCATTATGCAGGTAAATATATATTTATATCATTAGAATGTTTCATTCTAAATTATTTTTTTATAAAATTTTAAATGACGTTTATCTATCTATATATTTTCTAGGTTATTACTTCAACCCAAAATTCTTCTATTTGACACCTGAACATCCCCACAAGATTATAGAAGGGGTCAGGTACATTATTGCCAGGTTGGAAAGAAGCCATCGAAATCAGGTAGCAGCAATACAAGAGGCATTATTTAATATTTGGGTAAAAACATGATTGAGTTGTTATATTTGTGAGAAATAATGCACTAAAACGAAATATTTTGTTTTAGCTTGCTATGTATAGGGATGCTATAGGATCCTTCGAAACTAAACTTGCCAAGAATTCTCGAACTAATGGATCCAGGTTATCCCCTAACTAATATTTTGTTCATTCATATATTTAATCTTATGAATTGTTCTTGCCCTTATAATGCTTTTTGCATTTTAATCTAATTGAATGGTGGGAGATATATGGTAGTGATGCACGTTACCTAAAGAGAATAACAATCAAGATGCTCTCTCAGACATGTTCTGCTATTGGCTGTGTGCGAAACTGGAGTACGTTCCAATGGTTGCACACTGCTATGAGGAATCGACTCGCTTTGGAGAAGCTTCATAAACTAGTCTACGTTCATTACAACTTAAACCTCCGAGAGCGACAAATAAGAAGGAAGCTTGAAGACTATGGGCCGATAGACTTGGACACAATATTTGTCACACATACAGCAGAATAATCGATAGTAAAAGAAGAGGAGCCAGTGTTACACAAGAGAGCATTCATTGAGGCTATCGGTGAGGAAGATCTTTAAGAAGGTGATGAGCAGCATGAAAGAGGAAGCAACCCGCCAACATATCCACAATTCGTCGGAGATGTCGGTGATATTGCACCTAATGAGGGAGAGTGGGAAGGGGGTCTAAAGGAAAATGAGAGAGATGATGATTCTGAGGCCACTCAATCCCAGCCAAATTATTCACATATCGAGTCCCAACAACAAGAGAGTAGGGATGAACACGATAGTGTAGGTGAGCATAATGGATGGACAAACTTTGAAGATTTTGGATTAGAACCACAACAAAACACTAACACTCAGGGATTTGGGTATAGTCAGGTGCCCACTAATTTGGATGATTCGTTTTTAGATCGAGTCAATGAATTGTCATGCGAATTCAATCAATGGGACCAGCGTGACCAAGATGACGAACGACGTCGTCTGTCATTTTATTTTTAGATTGTATGTTACGAATTGTATGCTTTATTGTAGTCCATGTATGCTGATATACTTAATCCATGATAATTCTATGTTTATCTTTTTTGTGTGATGTAAATTAAATAGTAAATAGTAGTTCATGCAGGAAAAGAACATATCACTATTCGCATATTCATGCAAAGAAATAAAAATTCTTAATGGAGTACCCTCATTTCTTATTGAATTCTTAAAAAACAACATTTACAATGAATTTTAATAATTTTTTCAGATTTTTTTAAAATTTAATCCGATCGATTCAATCGATTCTTGATCCAGATCGCTGATTCATCGATCGAGATGGATTTTTGAGATGCCCGATCCGGATCACCGATCCCCTTTATAAACCGCACTCTTTGAGACTGAGAGTACTTGTTTCTGGACGTGTTCGGACTCCAAAACGCTCCCTATTGAAATGCACTCGCCCGGATCGATTGGCCCACCCAATAACCGACCCTGGATTTGTGAACCCTCATTTTGAAATCAGTACAAACGTTTCCAAGATGGATCTTCTCCGCAAAACCTACACAGCTGATTCTGATGACGAAGGTGACGATAGGAAATTCTTAAATTCCACGGCAAAAAGGCTCAGACCTTCTTCAAATTCACAATACTACCACACCGCCATTCCTCCTCTTCCTGCTCACCCCCCTGATTACCCTTCGCGACGTTCTGATGAGGCTTCAGTTCCTGGACGTTACGTGTCAAAGCGCGAACGCTTGATTCCAACTCCTCCTTCTAGGGTTTCAGATACCACTGTTTCTTCCACCGGCCATACATCGCCTGGTCTTGATTTCATCTCTTCATTTTTGTTCTGTGGATATTTGATGATTTATTGTTTGAATTTTGATTGAAGTTAGATTTATTAGAAATGCATTTTCTTTCCATTGTTATTTATGGATGGATTTGTTTGTTGAAAATTCGAAAGTAGTTAAAATTGAGTATATGTGGGACTTTTATGAATGTTAATTGTTCATGGTGATGGCAAATACCCATGTCAGTTCGTAAAAGCATAACAATTGGAATGCACCAATAGCAACGGGTGGACAAATGGAGTTAGGAATTAAACTGTAATGAAATGAGTAGTAGTTGTGAACCGAGTAGGAAAACTACAAAAAGTCTCAGTAGTTGGATGAATCAAAGCTGAGAGTTTTTTTTTTGTTGTATTTCCTTCAATTTTGCACTTTCTGTTTGTTATTTTTCTTCCTCGTGTTTTAGTTTCGTACCAATACTTATCTCTTTTCCCCTTGTCTGCTTTACTTCTTGTAACTTTTGGTCTGTCTCTACTGAATACATCTCTCTCTACATCCACTTGAAAGGTGTAACTTACAATTTTATTAGAAGAGGAGCAGATTAAGTACAATTTTCCAACTAGAATCCCTCTCCTTCCTTCCCTTGCATAATGTAAAGGAGCCTTCCTTGCTTATTTATGAACTTAAGGACCTGGCACACCCATCCAAACTCTATTGTGTTTGTATTAAAATTGCTACATCTTTTCCAAAAGTAAGCTTCAAGCAGTCAAATACTGGAGAAATTAAGTATTTTGTGTGTCTTACACATTGAATTTCATCCCTTTCCCCAACTCTTTGACCTGAAGGATCTTGAAATCATTTTCTCTCATTTATACTTATATTAATAGTTGAATTGAATTTTCATTTTTCGATGTCTTGGAAAGGTTGGAACTACTATGGATCCGTTTGGAAACTTTTTCATAATGTGTTCTTTCACCCTTAGAAACTGCCTGATTTCATCTTTACTAGTAATTGAGAAATATTACGGATTATGTTGTATGTATTGTGTATTGAACTTGAGGCCCACCTGTGTTTCATGTATTATCCTGTAAGACATATGGCTTTGTTTGGTATTGTTTGTTTCTATATTACTTTGCAATTTGTGCAGAAATTCGTCTATTCTATGCTTCCTATTACTTTTGTGTTGCTGCTTTGCATTATGTTTAGCAGTGAAACATATCTTAATTACTGGAAATTCCTGCACACATCTAAGTATGTGGAAGCTAATGTCTGGGATATGTTAGTTACTGGAAATTCCTGCACACATCTACGGTTGAGGAAGCTAATGTCTGGGACACCATTTTTCCAATTGGAATGACTCACGGATTGCTGATTTTCGAATATGGAATTTTACCTGAGTATGTAGGTAAGTGAGATCCATATCCCTATGAGGAAAGCTCAGGACCTTAAGACAACTTAC